TGATTATGTACGGCCCGTTACAGTATATCCGTCCGTGAAATTCTACTGAATATTTTATTTCATCTATTTTAATTCATCTATTTCGTGATCATTCAACAAAAAGAAATTTAACTGAACGTTTGGAGTATTCAATACAATGACTTATTTTCTTATATCCACTAGGTGGGGCAGAGGGCGCTGCGTTTCTTGAGACAGGAACTTAACTTCAAACCACGTCAATCCAATAGCTCTTACCTGGGCCACAACTAAGCGTCGCGTCGCCAGGATTGTTCCTGGCGGCCACTTACAATACAATAGATAAACTTATTAACTTTCTCTGCATTAATTATAAATCCTTTCCTAATTATATACAATTTGTTTGTATTTAATATCAGTATATTTAGGACAAAAAAATTATCCGCTGTGTACAAAAATTGCATAGCTGCACACAAGCACGTATTGAGGAATTACAAAATATAGCTTATGAGTATCATGTGCTGACATATAACGGTGAGTAAACAAGCAATTATCAATTACAGTAGTCTATTTAGCTAACGTACACAGTTAGGATGGTCGCGAACAAACGTGTATCGCCCCATTCGCGTGAATTAGGCCCTCCCTCCCGGTTTAATTAGTGCAGGGGTGAAATTTGACACCCTGTTTATTCCTCTGACAACTTATCACCCTGCTCTGCTTTGCGGTTTTGGCAGTTTCGCTCTAATCAATTACAACTCAAAAACAAAAAGGCTGGAGTTATGTAAATAATTTAGTACAAATCATATTAATGTTAGTAATAGCAGCCTTGAGCAGTGTTTGCCTAGTGGCTTCAGCGTGCGACTCTCATCCCTGAGGTAGTAGGTTCGATGTCTGTATCAGGCGCAGGCGACTGATCACCTGATGCTTACTGATGCATTAGATTGACAAATGATTGTGAAACAGATACAGAATTCTGAGGCCCAGATCTAAAAAGGATATAGCGCCACTGCTTTTTTTCTTCTTTTTATAGACTTGCAGACATTTTAATATAACACCAGCGGACAGAATCTGGTCTACTGACTACGGTGATCGAAGAAGATACAATAAAACGCAAAAAAAAAGTTGGATGAAATCAATATAATCCGCAAAACCATATAGTGCATATACCTACAATCCTAACGGGATGCGACGCACAAATGGGTCAAATTCGTGTCCGAATGGGGACTGGAACAGTATGTGGTGTGAAGTACAATAGCAGCGTTTCAATACATTTAATTGTGCCTTGTTATAAAGAACAATTAAAGCGAAGAATAAGCGTCAATTTGACACCTTTTGTCTCGGATCCAACCAGAATATTTATACAATGAATTATTCTGCTATTCATTTATTTAAGTCATCTCAGTGTTTGATTTCTTATCGAGTTAATTATCTAAAAGAACCTGTTATGTTTGAAGATCCGTTTAGGTTTTTGCCTATTACTTTAAGGAATATTTAGAATATTATATAGATCCCATTATAATAATAGTCCATTGAAATGTTACAATAAGAGGGCCAAACGGAACATTTGTTAGAGGACGCAATTTTATTTATGGAACATGTAGGGGGATCAATGCAAGCTTAGACCCAAGTTTGTGGGGTTGGCGCCCTTGTCCCCCGGCCGCCATCTTGGAAAAAGGGGTGGAAACACATTTTTGGCTATATCTCCTACACTATTCATCGTACGAAACATAATTGTAGGCAAAGCGATTTGCTACAAAATATGTCTTCACAATTTTTTTGGAGTCCGGGGGACAAGGGCGCCAACCCCACAAACTTGGGTTTAAGCTTGTATTTACCCCCCCTACATACTCCAAAAATAAAATTGCGTCCTCTAACAAATGTTCAGCAAATGTAACATTTCAATGGACTATTAACTGATAAAAAGCACCATATTTAACTCTGATAAATAGTCAAATATTTGTGAGTGCTCAAATAGGGTAAAGCTAAATTATAAACGGATAAGCGGAAATCTGTAATTATTATCTAAACGACAACGTCCGACGCTCATGAATAATTTAATTGGCTGCATCGCTACGTCCAGGTTCACATGGAATTGTTTCAGCATTAAATACACCGCCGTAACGTTTAGATACCCAGACGTGGAATTTATTTGCAAGTTCGATCGAGTTTTGAACAACTGACGTACGCTTTACAGTCAGATTGCAAAATAGCTTTGGGTTATACTCAAATATTTCACGGGACTTATACCAAGCCTCTATTTTAGGTCAATTGTCATGATAATCATTATGATTTTAAAATAAATTTACATAATTAATTAGTTACACTTAATTCAAAAACATTTATAATGCGGTTGAAAATCTGTAATTAGCGTTGTTTACGCTGACAGCCAAAACGTATGGCGATTGTCAGTTAATTTTGACATGCACGCCCAGGGAAGGGTAGATACGAGGATACAGCTTCCCGAAACCCGTACTTAAAAGCGTAATCAAACTTCTAAATAATTATCGTGGATTTACCAAAAGTCGACGAGTTTCGGCTATGAATAAAACAATAAAGCAGTAGTGAACATGTAGATGCTTTAGTGCCCCGTTAAACCCGAGGGAAATCTACCGACAATACAGCACTGATTTATTCGCCATTTTTTAACAATATGGACCATTGTAATTAACATTCACTTCGGGTATTTACGGTTAGCCACTAAGAAATAATGTCACAATTCTTGAATACCATAAATTTATTGCGCTCCCATTTTAAATATGAGTCGAGTATTTTGGGTTTGTTAAATCATCAGTCTAGTGATGAATAACAAGATCGTACTAATGACGAATTGCTTTGTGTAATGCGTATTAAATCACAAATTTATTAATAAAAATCACAGTACCTACTTGCTTGAAGAAGAACAACATATTTATTTATTTGTAAGTCCTAAAATAATATGTATACTTAAAATAAACAAGAATGACTTCGCAAGTTGTATACACACATACATTAATTATACCTATTAGAAAATAAACATTTCAAATTAGCTAGAAAAGATTTAAACTAAATAGAAACTTAAACCTCATTAAGAGCGTGACAAAGTAAGGCAATCGGCACATCATAGACTCAAATGGTTAAAGTTTAATTATGACAGTGTCACGTCAAGTGTATATGTTTGTCTCCCCTAAATAAATCACACCCACCGCAAGGAACATGGAAATTTATTAATAAAAACATAAGTGCCGTCGGTCTGTCTGTCTAAAGAGTATAAGGAGGCACGTCTGGAGTAGATGATCGCTGGTCGACGAGTCTGCCTCTGGGAAATCTTCACTCAACTATACAATTTATTGCGAACGATTAAATATAAAACTTAGGACCTTCGAGTCTCGTATCACTTTATGGACTGCTGCTTTTTCATTGCTGCAACATTAACACCTCGATTGGTGATCAATAGGGAAATCGAACCTTAATTTGTTTTCATTATCATTAATTGTTGCTTTACTTGCGCCAAGCTACACCCAATGGATTATATAGATATAATATATATGTTGGTGTAGAACCATTTAAACTGAACGATCTTATTTTTGGTAATTCCAGAAAACAAATCCTCAAACCACACTTGTCTAAAACAGTAGCAAAGTTACACTTTGCCATTGCCTTGCTTTGACATTTTGTCAAGTAATGTCTCAAGAAGTATTATAACTGCTCATCCGAGCCCATTGCAGAGTATATTCAATTAGCGTAATAAAGATTTAGGCAGAGCTCACACGAACGCGATAAACGCTAATAAATATTCAACCCTTATATTCAATTTATTTTTAAATTATAAGTTTTAGATATTTGTCACTAGATAAAATCCTGCCATTGCAGTTTCATTTATATTTTTTAAGCATGGCGGGAGGAGAAGGTCCAGTACATGTGCTTTCCGTGCCTGAGCAATATTTTTTTCGCCGGGAACATCCAGGATCTCCTTAGGTTAGCAATTCTCTAATATGTTTATTGTTAGTTCAACTGTAATAAGTAAGACATCTCATGATTCAGATATCTAACCTTAAAAAGTAACCATGCTAATAATATCTACGCTAACTCTTCCTTTCTTGGCGACTCTTTTAGGGTCTCCGCAGTGAGGCTATGTTATTTACTTCTCGTCCCCATCCGCTTAGCTCCTTCTCTTTCTTACTTTAAATCTCTGCTGTACAAGCAATACCTGTCCAAATCGTATCCCTAGTTACCGTACTAATTGAAGTACTTAACTAAAATTATCGTGATTCATGTCTCCTTTTTCATTGTCTACATATATTTTAATTGTACTGTTTTCTTTCAACGAAGTATAAATAAATACAATAAAAATTATTGTTTGTGGATAACATAATAATAATAAGGATCGTCTACAGACATTTAAAATAGAAATATTTCCCCTTTTGAATATTAGTAATGATTTACCGTCTTTTATTCGCCTTATGGATGGATTTCGCAATATATAATAATTTTAATTACAGTTTAATAATAATAAATATGTTTCGTTATAATTGTATAATGTATAAAGCAACAATTGTTAAAAGAAACAATAAGTTAATCTTCGTCGTGTGGAGAAATAAAACAGAATTGTTATAATCTGCAATAAGTTAGGTGTGATCTGAATAACGACGCAATTTCAATAGTGAATGTATATTGCGGGTTAGTAAGTGCTATTTATTGGTTTCAATAAACCACTCGTTCAATGGATTTTTTCCTTATATTTATGAGATCCCGCAATTTGAATTTGAATGAGACCTTATGAATATAAGTTTTATAATACGTTCCAAGCTATTTCACTCCCAGGACATTCTAAATAAAATATCTTTTATAATCCACTTTTTGAGAAATAACAGTTGTTTCTTTTTTCGCATTATGGGCAGTACAAATTATTATATTGCAATAAACTATACTTCACTTAGGTTTAACAAATGGTTAAAGGATAATATTTATTCAGTTAAAATTATTTTAATAGATGATGGCATGCCATGTAACAATTATTGTCCATTATGTTGATTAGAAGGTGTTTTGTTTAATAATCCTCATGTTACCTTATAATTGCCAAGATGTTCTACTACGCAGGGTAAGTTCGCATCACGACCGAGCGCAACCGTCACATTCGGGATGGGCTCCGAGAAACGGGGCTCCTCCGTGAGAACTGAAACAGTATTGCATAAGTTAAAGTGATTAAATTAGTATTTAGAAGAGCACGAGTTCAAGCTAGACTTTCCCGCGAATTCGTTTGTGTGGATCCCGGGTCCTGGATCCTGGGATGCCTTTGGCATGCTTTTAATAATGTTAAAATATAATTTTCACTATTTATTGTATAACAAAACATATAATGTATAGAATTAATTTTTATTAATGCTATGTCAGGAAAATATATGCTGTGCTAATTATTGCTGAAGAGAGCGCGTCTGGGTTTTCTCTCGCGGCGTAACTCCGACGAATACCAACAAATGAAATTCACAGGTACTAAGTCCCGTATTCTAAAACGTATATTAAGCATCCATCCTAGATTAATTACGAAATTTGAGTAAAGATTGTATTCTAACAAGAGACTTGATATTCTATTTAACGAAAGCCTTTGGTGATCGATGATCCCCAATTCAGATTCGGCGGCGGGAAAAAAAACACCCTTTTTCGCTACTCGTCTCTTCCAAGACACTCTCCTAAAAGCCTTAGATAGCATAGGAATACTGGTCATTGATATATCGAATGACGTTCAGTTTCCCGGTCATTGGGGCGCTCAGCAAGGCAAGACGGTACTTCACTCTGCGCTACCACATGCAACTCTATAAAGCGCAAGTTTGGCCCTACATGGAGTACACATATGTGCTCCCCTGACCAGCTTCTTCCCTCCACTTGACCGTATTGAATGAGCGAGCGATCGTCAACGACCGAGCTTTCCGAGCGACATAGAAATGTGGGGTCTCTCAGCATCTTCTTACTCATTTACTACAGAGAGTTTTCAGAGGAGTTGTTCGGTATTAATCTGCAGCTGAGTTTCATCGATGGACGTCAAGGTAGAATACGAAATACCGTCCGACTTTCTACAAAATATCTTTCTTATTTTTGTTATGATTTACATGACATTGATTATTTACCAATCCTTTTGATGAGGGGAATCATAGAAGCTGGGATATACCTAGAAGGTTTCTGATTGTTTCACTTAGGGACTTGCAACACGCGCAGGTGTTGCACGCTAAAAATTGCCTTAAAAACGCTAAGTTGTGGAATGACGGACGTCGAGGTGATACGTGTGGAATTATGACATTTGGCTCGATGTCCGATGATGAAGCTAGCTAGCTATAGCTGCTGGTATTACACTTACTTAAATAAAACCAAAGGGATATCAGTATTAGCAACTCAGGTGGTACATACTAGTAGACCCCGCTTATTAATATGATACACATCGAATTCAATTTTTCTGGTTTCTCCTGTGAAGATTTATATAATAAGATCTTTTCTTTAAGAGGTAATTATTAAATGTTAGTTTATTTTTAAGGTATTTTACGATTTTTCACTATAATATATATATGACAATAGACACTAATCATAAACTAATACATAATACAAACAATACGTTAAACAGAATGCTTTCGAAATTACTTTGATTTCCTATCTACATAAGCACGCTAAGCATTTTGTTGGTACTTAATACTGCAATAGATTAGTTGGCCCTGTTGGGCTCCGACAAATTCAATAAAATACAGCTCTATTATTTTATCTAATTGTATTGTATATGAATACTACGCACCGTAAAAACGCCTGAGCGACTAGACCCTAAACTCGACTGCGTTTGTCACTAAAGCGGGCGGAGGAAGACACGCGGGTGAAATTATATATATTTTTTAGCTAATCTCTTTTTAGAATACAATCTTGACTCAAGTCTAGAATTAATGCTTAATATACAACTTAGAAACCTTAGATTAGACGTAAGCCACAAACCACAAAATTCCAAAGTCTCAACTATTAACGTGTAACTAGAATTGATTGACACCGCACCTAATATAGACGAAGTTGTTCAAAGACACGCTGCGAGATATGAGCGAGATTTAATTACTGAAGTTACCACCCTTCAAAATATTGTCTTCATTAGACTGCTCCCTTTGACTTGGTTTTATTTGAAAAGTTAGTAATTTGTAACTGAAAGTTAGTTAACCTGTTAACGGTTTATCTTTGAGTTCACACAAAATCTAGTTACACCAACACTAGATTACGTGATTACGTTTATTTAGAAATAAAAAGCTCGGCAAGTATTATCTGCGAAGTTAAATTGAACTGCCCCTCTTGGCTATAAATGGTGCGCAGCATATTAAATGTCCTTACTAGTTATTTAGCGATTAACTGTACTTTAGTTATAACCAGCAGATGATACAGTAATTTTCCATTGAATGTTGTGTTGGACAAATGTATAATATACCTTGATAATGAAAAACAGAAACTTGAAAATGTTTTACAAGAGAAAAGTATTGATCATTGATGCCTGTATATTACCGTGCCTGATGTACGCATGTCAAACCTGGTCACTCACTGATAAACTAGAAAACAAACTAAGAGTATGTCAGAATAGTATCGAAAGGAGTGTTCTAGGTCTGAGATTGAAAGATAGAGTAAAACTAGAAGAAATAAAGGACATGACAAAGTTTAGAAATGCTGTTACTTCTAGTAAAGGATTGAAATGGAAATAAACAGGACGGATTATGAGAGAAGATAAAGATATTTATTGATTTTAGTGTTTCTCATTTTTATGTACTAGTAGTAGTCATTTTTATGTAGTATAAGTTATTACAGCAATAAGGGCTTTTATTATTATTATTATATACCTTGGCATATAATAGTGATGATCTGTATGAGTGCGATGACAACAGTCCGGCCGGGCGCGCGTCTCCCGCCCGTGGTCATCCTGCATGCCCGATCACTGCTCACCGCCACCACCGCATCGCTGTAATAAATAATCAGTTCCTTTTTGTACTACGTTTATAATAATTATAGTAATTAATCGTTTATTTGCAGGGAAAGTGGTACATTCAGATTGATTTTTATGTATTAGTCCAAAGTAAAAAATCATTTATTCATGTAGGTAACACAATGTTCACTTATGAACGTCAAAATAAGAAATATACATTAAATGCTTCCAATTTTACATTTACTGCCAGTTCTCAAATCAAGGGCGTAGAACGCAAGAACTGGCAATAAACTCTCCGCCACTCTTTTTAATCGCCAAGTTTTTTGTTTTAGACAACGTTTGTAAGGAGCTGCAACCATTACACCATGTTCCACACATGACATCTTAAGTAATGAATAATAATACAATAAATTAAAAACAAAGGTTTGTTATATTGTATTCATACTTGGGACACAAATCCTATTTCTAGCCTCATTTTAAAGATAAACTGCATTAGAGTATAAAAGTTTTATCGGGATAGTTGACTATTAAAAAGTACGCGACCTCTCAATACAGTTTTTTTCAATATTATTCTTACTAGTGAAATTTAACCTCCAGTTTGTAGTTTTTTTTTTTTTTTTTTTTGTTGTATCTGCTTCATGGCAATCTGCTATCCAGCAATAAGCCACTTGTTTGTTTGATTTTACTCAGTTCATGTTATCCTCAAGAGCCATACTCGACATAGAGCCACGACTCTCTTGATGTTAAGAGGTAAATCTTTTATATAGGCTCGGTACGTCCCTTCTTTTTAGCCGCTTATGCTGAAGACCGCCTTCTCCGCTCAGAGCGTGTACCAGTTTATTTACATGGGAGGTCAGCTTCTCCTGGTATTTCAGGCTGTTTTGAGCTATTTCCTGTCGAACTGTTTTTAGGCCTAGGTCGAGGTATATGTACCTATTGCTTATACAATGTGGGATGCCAAACATTGTTCTCAGAGCTTTGGTCTGGAATCTCTCCAAGATATCTATGTTACTGTTGCTGGCCGTTCCCCACAGTTGTATCCCGTAAGTCCAGATTGGTTTTAAGGTGGTTTTGTACACTAGCATCTTGCTGTTAGGATTAAGTTGTGAATTGCGTCCCAGTAACCAGTTCAGTGTACGCAGCCTTCCATCCAGTTGTTTGCGCTTTGTCCAGATATGTTTTTGCCATGTAAGTTTCCTGTCTAGGTGCATGCCCAAGTATTTTGCGTTATTTTCTTGAGGGATAACTTTGCAGTTTAGCGTTACCGGAGGACATGTTTCCGTTTCTGGGTTGCTATGAGCCGACAGAAGCGCCGTATCATCAGCGTATGTCGCAGTCGTGGTGTAGTTAGTTGTTGGGATGTCTGCTGTAAAAATGAGGTATAGTATAGGGCCCAATATACTACCCTGAGGGACACCTGATTTTAATTCGTGTACTTCTGAGAGATCATCGCCGTACTTCACTTGGTAGCATCTTTTCTCTAAGTAGGATTTCAATATTAGGAATAGACAATGTGGAAGATGCTTCTTTAGCTTGAACAGGAGGCCGTCATGCCATACCTTATCAAAAGCTTGGCTGATATCCAAAAAGACTGCAGAGCAATATAATTTGTTTTCAAGGCACCTGCTAATGGTGTCAACTATACGGTGTACCTGTTCAATTGTCCCGTGTTTTTCCCGGAATCCAAATTGGTGGTTCGGTAATAATGTACTTAGATGTTCTTTCATCCTGTTAAGCAATATCCTCTCAAACAGTTTGCCAATAACTGGTAGCAGGCTGATAGGTCTGTATGAAGCAGCTTCGTGTGGGGGTTTACCGGGTTTCGGCACCATGACTATATGTGCAATTTTCCATTGCCCAGGGAAATGTTCAAGTCTTAAGCTAGCATTAAAGATGTTAACTAATTTCATGATACCTTTATGAGGCAAGTTTTTAAGTAATGTGGCATCAATCAGGTCATAGCCAGGTGCTTTACCATCCTTGAGGTTCCTAATTTCTTTCACAATTTCTTTTGGGCTGGTACTTTTTAGTGGTAAACACATTTGATTCGCTGACTTGAGGTATTCTTTGATTTCCAAAGTATGTTCGGGATTGTTTTCAGGGAGTGGTTGGAAAACTGTTTTCAGATATTCCGCAAAGATTGTTGCCTTTTCTTTATCTGATCTAGCCCATCCTCCTTTTTCATCATTGATAGGTGATATATGGTTTTTCGGGCGCTTTAGATTCTTGGTAGCCTTCCATAGTGAGTAGTTTGTGTCTCTCGTTGGATCTAGATTTGAGAGATAGTGTTGAATATTATCATTTTCTAGGGTGCTGATAAGAGCTTTGAGTTCATTTGAGTATCTATTGAATGCAGTTTTATCACTTGGATATCCCTTAGTATGCCAGATTTTTCTCAAACGTCGGCGCTCGTGTATTTTCTCTTTAATATCTTTTGGATATGAGTTATGTTTCAGAGGTTGTCCATTACCTGTCCTTTTTGGATTTGCAGAATTGGCAGCAATGTGAATATTAATATTAAGTTGTTCCAGTTGTCTTTCAAGTTCTTCTATTGTATTAATTTTGGTCTTTAGTTCTGTCTCTGTTGTGATTATATTTTTATAAATTGTCCAGTCTGTAGTGTTCGAGTTGTATATCCTTAGGGGCGGTGCTACCAGATTAACTGTTGTAGTAACATTCAATATAACTGGTGTGTGGTCAGATGTGAGATCTATTCGAGGTTCTATGTTTAAGTAGTTACTATCTATGTTTTTAACAATAAAAAAGTCCAATAAGTCTGGGATTCTTTGTCTGTCGGTAGGCCAATAGGTAGGTTCTCTGCCGGAGTGACATTCTAATTTCATCTCTACTGTGGCTTTATAAAGTTGCCTTCCTCTAGTATTGTTCAGCCTAGATCCCCAATTTAAATGTTTAGAATTCCAGTCGCCAGCACATATAAATCTGTTTGTTTGTAGTTTGTAGTAATAAAAAGTACAAAGTGACGTAACTCTATAGACAGTCTTTTTAGAAAAATTCTTTGTGCTACCTTTATAAAGGATCGCTCAGCAAATCGACAGTAAATTGACCCATAGTTAGATTTAAATTGTCAATCTAGAAATTGGAAATCTATAATAAACTTTTACAATAATTTATTAATACGTGTAGTTATTATAAGTTTGAACGTAAAAACTATAATTTTATATATGTATCAATTTTGAACTAGTCTTCTATTCTAGAGTCACGTGGTAAATTTAATAATATGGAGAATTCGCAACGGATAAGAGCTTAAAATAAAATTGTCCCGTCACACGTGACAGTGACATTTGACATATTTGTATAACGCGGCAAGGAGTGAGAGGAGATATCTGTCGTTATAACGCCTCAGCCGACAGTTGAATTTTTAGTCAATTTTCGTTTGACACAATTGAATTTGATCTTCGTATAAATCAAATTTCTGAGCACGGAGCGAGGGTTGACTTCCGAAAAGAACAAGTCATAATATCCAGCGATCACAAATGAATTATTGATTTTTATCGTCTTCGTGTAATAAGGACAAAGGAATAAATGCATATTTTTTTGTTTAATGTATAAATGACATAGCTCACAGCTGTAAATTCAGATATTTTTATATTTTTTTTAAATAGCTTAACGAGAAAGCTGTGGACTTTCGTTCATAGTTAAAATATTTTTTTAAGCTTTTATCAGTTTAAAGTTTCACTCTCTCATCACAAAAATAGCAACCTATGACTTGCGCCAGTGATGTCTGTCTCCGGTCCGTCGTTGAGATCAAACGTTTAAGGCTACTTAGGAGCCTTTGTGTGGGCTCATTGCGGTCGGAACTCAGGCAAAACATTACCATTTATTTTCGCCTATTACCAAACAATAAGAATTTTCTATATAATAATTGTAGTTTATATTCTTTTCTTTACGCAAATATGTTTATTTTCCAACGAATGAAAAAAACTCCCTTTTTCGCTACTTCTTTCTTTGAAGACACTCTCCTTAAAGCCTCAGCTAGCATCGGAATACTGGGCTTTGACATATCGAATGACGTTCAATTTCGCGTCATTTTGAAGGGAAGGCTAAATTAGCCTCCAAAAAGCTTGGTGTGCTTAGCAAGGCTAGACGGTACTTCACTCCGGGCCACCGCTATTTCCGAACTAATTCGACTTAGAGTCCTTCAAGAAAATAGTCCAACCAATTCTCGAAAGGCCGACAACGCACTTACGAGCCTTCTGGCAATGTGAGTGTCCATGGGCGGCGGTATCACTTAACATCAGGTGACCCTCCTGCCGGTTTGCCTTCTATTACATAAAAAGTATGAGTGTAGTGAGATACTAACGTATTAAATAGATGTCATTTGCGCATTATAGCGATTAATTTGAAATTGATCAATCTGTCATGCAATAACATGGTTTCTAGGATTAAATACAATAACTCATATCAGCGAGAGCATTACAATATGTAATATCTTAATCAGACGGCGAACTATTGCGCCATTTCAAACATATGCCTGTACAATATACAGTATACATACAATATTCAATATCATATAATTTGTAGCTGCAATTATAAAATAAAATATCTCTCTACACAAGTGATTAAGGTTGGTTTAGTGCCAAATTTTAGACATATTTTATTTCTACTTTCAACTAAAAAAGGTTTTAAACAGAGTGTCTGTTTAATGCGCAAATAAGAGTGCGTTTCTTAATACTAATTCTATCAACAAGTTAATAGATTTTCAAGTTTTATTAAAATAAATAGATAAATCCTAAATAAATGTTATTGTTCTAGAATATTGTAAGTACACTATTCGCATAAAAAGAGATTTGTCCAAATATTTGTACAATAATTTTTACCGCTCTCGGTCCGCAGTCGCGAGAATTAGATTTGTCGCACAAAATGGCTCCGGGACCGCGGGCTGAATCCACAATGTTTATTGATAATACCTTTGTGTGATATCGGATGTTTATCTTTGGCTAAAGAATATCAAATCAGTTCTGAAACCTACGAAGGA